GGAGGAGGTCGAGGTCTAGGTCAGATTTGCAGAAATGAATGACATGCACTTAAAGAACAGCAGGTCGAGGTCAGGTTTGCAGACAGTTTTCGGTGTCTAGAAAAAAAAAAGAGGATGATAGAAAAATGCGCCTGGCAAATCAGTCGGTAATTTAAAATCTTACCCCATCAGCCAGAGCAGGCGACGAACCTCGACATTCGAAACAAATGTATCAACGAAAATTATTTTGAGGTCTGGGAACGCACAAAAATTTTCACATATGCAAAAAAAAATATGAATTATTTTCCTCGCTTTGCACCATCTAGAATAGCGTATTTAATCTATACTAATGTAAGTTTTCCTTAAAAACTAATTTTCTAACGCGCAGGGCCGTTGCGTACTACCACCGTAACCCCCGACCGGGAGAGGCCTAGTCTGATTGGGAGTTTATCTTACCAACATTTTTTTTTTCTGTTTACATTTATATACGTCACAAATTAAACTAAGCACAACGGACGAAAAATTTTCGCGGATTTTGACATTATTCGGGGTGTTTTTTTTTTTCGCCTAAATCCGTGAATTTATTATACTCATAAAGAGAAGGCACTGTGGAGTAATGGATAACGATTCGGATTAAGGAATCGGAGAGCCGAGATCGAATTCCAGTCGAATCCATTAAATATTCCCTAGGGAAATGTATGAATCCACTTCTTCCCCCCCCCATAGCTAAGGTTAAATAGTAGGACAGACCGGGTTCTATAGCTAGCTAGCAAGAAAGAAATGGCAACTTACGGCGGGGGAAAATATCTGCCTCTTCAGTCATGTATCGAAAGATACATGATCGCCTAAGTGTGTATCCCGCATAACACATAACTGAAGTTTCAAATAAAATCCACTATTTTTTTATATGTTGAATGTGTTAAAATTATTCAACTTTGTAATATGAGAAATTTGATGTTAAAAATTGCCGCAAAACATTGTTTAAGATATATATATAAGATTTATAATATATATATATAAGATTATATATTATATAAGATTTATAATAAGATTCTGTTTATTTAACATAGAACGATCTCTTATGAGATGTATGCGTATCGTAGATTTTGCGGGTGGGACACGTGACCCTTGAACCGGCCCTGGTAGCGTGAATTTTTGAATAGAGGGAGATTCAGTCAGTCAGTTATGTGCCATGCGTGATACACGCGTAGGCGATCATGTATCGAAAGATGTATGACTGGTTTTTTCCCGCAGTAGTTTGCCATTTCTTTCTGTGGTAGAAGAAGTTGCCATCTCGGTCTGTCCTGCTATTTACCCATATTTAATAGTGGGAGAAGAAGAGGATTCATACCTTTCCCAAGGGAATTAGCACGTAAGTGGAATTCGAGCTCGGTTCTCCGATTCCTTAATCCAACCCACTTACCCATTAATCCACAGTACGGGAGATTATTGAAATAAATGATTAAGATTATTATGATTTTTTTGTTTTAAATCAAAAAACTTAAACAGGAAAAATAAGTATTGATATTATCTTGAATTTTTATTAGATGAGGAATTGTCAGCCATTATTAGGTTTTGACTTAATTTTAGTTGTTATTCGTGTAGTAGTGATGAAAGTAATATTATCTTGAATTTTTATTGCATGAAGCATTGTCAAACATTATTAATTTTTTGATATTTTTTTCTTTAATCTTAATTTCAATTGCTTGCTTTTCGTCTAGGAGTGTCAGTAGTAATATCTTGAATTTTTATTAGATGAAACATTGTCAACCATTATTAATTTTGACGCCTTTTTTTAATTTCAATTGCTTTTCATTCAGTAGCGTTAGCAATAATTTGTATTTTTTTTTATATTAAAAGTAGCATTTACAGCCATTGTTCAATTTTGTCTCGTACTTTCATTTTAATTTCAACTTCCTTTCATCGAAATTACTCAACCCGTCAGTTCATGACAATTATAGAACGGTGTGAACAACCGAGAGCTTCTTCTTTATTTAATATTTAATCTGTGAAGTTTACTCTGAGTACTTGCGATAAAATACAACCGCAGTTAAGATCAAACAAGTACGAGTCTAAAATTAATGAATGACAATCGTAGTATTAACCGTTTCCTTATAAGGAAACATTTGGTATTCATTGACCGAGCAACCAGTGCTACTTTTGGATGAAATTCATAAAGTCGCTCTCTTAAAACAATTTTTCAAGAAAATAAGTTTCTTGAGCTCATTCTTTCCAGTATTGATGGGGTCTGCCTTCTTAAGGTTTTGTTTCTTTATTTAAAATATTTCACGGTATATCAGCTACTTATGAGTAATTTAATGATGAAATTTAATTTTCTTCGGGGTATTAGTAATTTCTTTTTCAAAAATGTACTGCTGGGTGTTTTTTTTCTTCCAAAAAATATTATTGGTAATTTTTTCTTTTTTAATTTTTTTACAAAAAAATGTATTGCCGGAAATTTTATTTTATTCTCTTACAAAAATGTATGACTGGTAAATTTAAAAAAAAATTACTATAAAATATATTACTGGTAATTATTTTACGATGACAGTGTATTGCTTGAAATTGTTTAATTCTTTTATAAAAAATGTATTACTGGCAAATTTAAAAAAAAAATACTATAAAAATGTATTACTGGTAATTATTTTACTATGAAAATGTATTGCTGGTAATTTTTAATGTAAAAATGTATTTTTATACTTTCATAGTGTTTTGACCCCAGTTTGGGGGTCACCTATTTGCCTATATTTGGATATAGATTTTGAGTGAACGTGGAACCATCTGAAGAAATAAATTATAATAATAAATATAATGAACCCTTAAATATGCCTGTTTCTTAACATAATTAATATTTGCTCTGTTTTTACATTGAGCTCTCTGGTTTACATCCACCTTGGAATTATCCATACGGATTACCAAATAACCATTAACTAACTATATATATATATATATATATATATATATATATATATATATATATATGTGTGTGTGTGTGTGTGTGTGTGTGTGTGTGTGTGTGTGTTTCATTATCAGTAGCACGACTTTGAGTTTCATGCACAACTCAATCTTCGGGTGTTGAAATGAGACTGACCATTGTATAATTCAAATATATTCAATATATCAGATTATCGTAAAAAATTATAATTAATGGCGCAATCACTTTGCTAACAGATCAATACAACTTACTAACAACTCTCTGAATGACGCGATCCTTATGTTTAAAATTATGAGATGGATTAGATGTTCCGTTACAACTACTTTCGAAGAAATTAGCTCCGTCATCGTCAGGTATTAATATTTTTTCCATTTCGGGTAACTTTCCAAGACGAAAATAAAGTTATTGCAAAGCGAAAGATTTTTTTTTTTTTTAAAGTGTGCTATTTATTAGCGGTACAATTTCGGAACGGGCATTGCTGCATGTTGCATTTTGAATATTTCAAAGAATTTTAATAATTTTTCTCACTTGAAATATTCAAAAGGCTGGGCTAATATCGCACTTAAGAAAGTACAAATGAAATATGTCTTTCCCTTACCTGATTTTCTCCACAATAGACCCTGCTAGCATGCATGTGTAAAACGAAAGGTACCATCCACTTTTGACTCATTTATCGTTCACGATAGGAGAGTCCACCATATATATATATATATATATATATATATTAGACTAAACTTTAAGCAATACGGGATTTCGTTTTGCAAAGCAATAAATTGAGAATATTGTATTATTAGTGTATTATACGAGAAATTTTGAACGAAAATTCAAGGCAAAAAGCGGGGTCGTATTATACACAAATAAAATACAAAAAAGGGGGGGGACCTTATACACAAATACACAATTTCCGACATCATTACTCTCTCTCTGTCTCTGTGTATATCTCTCTTTTTCTCTCACACACACATATATATATATATATATATATATGTGTGTGTGTGTGTGTGTGTGTGTGTGTGTGTGTGTGTGTGTGTGTGTGTGTGTGTGTGTGTTAGGAGGTACGGTGGTGTAATGTACAGCGGCTTGGATTGAGGAATCGGAGAGCCGAGTTCGAATTCCATTCTTACGTGCCAATACCCTTGGGAAAAGTATGAATCCTCTTCTCCCTCCAGCTATGGGTAAAATAGCAGGACAGACTGCGTTCTATAGCCTTGAATGGCAACTGTTCTACGAGAAGGACAACTCTGATTTCAAAGCCCGTTTGGAGATTTTGGGGCACGTAGTGCACCAAGTCTCTGTATTCGGCTCTTCAAAAAGTGTGGATGGATAATATATGATATTATGTGGTTGATATATTCCTCATCAGTAGCACGACTGAGTTTCATTTACAATGCAATCTTCAGGTGATGACCGTTACATAATTTAAACTTGTTAAATAGATCGGATTATCGTAATGGTGGGGTCATCCATATTTTAAACAAGGAATTCCTGTTAAAATATATTTGAAATCTTTCCTCTTATTTGAAAAAGCTAGATTGCAAATATGCCTAGTTCTCTTCATTCTTAATGAAAAACAATATTTTTTTTTATTTTCATAGTTTATTAATATGAGCAAAAATAAATAAAGTCAAATCAAACAGAAAATATGATGGATTAATTAACACGCTAAAATGCATTACTGGGTTTTATTAAAATTCTAATCATCGCTTTTTTAAGAAGGTTTAACATTGCCAATGATAGAAGCGTATATAATTATATTATCTTGTGGAGGAGATTAGTCATTTACAAATTCGATAAAACAAACTCAACCATTTTATAAATTTGGAAGACGAAAGCAGGAATTTCCCAGAGAACCTATGAGTAGAATTTGAAAACAGTAAAAACGTGCAATATTAGCCCATATCTTCCTGGCGTGAGTAAAACATGACGTCTTATTTTCTTTTTCTTATCCAAATATCTAAAATATTTATATCCTATTATTATTGTGTTTGTCTTTCCATTCGTTAGTTCACACGACCGTTACGCACAGCCAATATTCACAAATAATGGAATGTTCCGTTTTGATCGCGTGAAAAGAGGGGAAAAGTACGATTTGGTTTCGGTGAGAAAAAGAAAGAAAGAAAGAAAGAAAGAAAGAAAGAAAGAAAGAAAGAAAGAAAGAAAGAAAGAAAGAAAGAAGGGATGAAAGAAATGTTTAACATCTTCTGTTAATAATACCTCTTAAATAATGGACTGTTCCGTTTTGAAAGCATGTAAAGAGGAGAAAAGTTTCAGTGAGAAAAAGAAATAAATAGAGAAGGGAATTTAGAAGTGTTTAACGTCTCCTGACAATACCTCATAAATAATGAACTATTTCGTTTTGATTGCATTAAAAAACAAAACATATCAGAAATGCGACTTGGTTTCAGTGGGAAAATGAATAAAAGAAAGAAGGGAAGATAGAATTGTTTATCGGCTGTTTCAATGAACTGAAAAAGTTGTCAATCTTTTAATTTCTATCCACTTTTTAAAATAACGACCAGAATTCATTCTTATTTTTAATTGGTATTTAAATATTTTGTTAAAATTGTTAAGCTCAAATATTTAACGATGATATAGGGGAATTTCGACGGATATTTTATTGTGGTAGAACTCGCCATGTGCTTATTCAATTATTAACTGAAGAATTAAGATTCATCAGAGAATTCAAATAGCAATACCGTGGAATTTTCACCGACCTTTAAAGTATAATCATGCATTTGTGTTTTGTCACATTACTATTAAAGGGAGTCTCGGTTTTGGTGTTTGGTTAAAGATACAAGTCTGATTGGCCATTGCTAATGAGTAACGAGTGCGATCTTCACTGGATGCCCCAAATAAAATTCGTCATTAAATAATTCAATAAGGTTTGTCCTGTAAAATCAACCAAATTTTATTAAAAAAAAAAAGACAAAAACGACGCACCATATAAGGCAATGATACAAATAGACCTCGAACCACATCTGTATCCCATTATTAAATATCTTTTGAATATCGTGTGGTTGCTATTAAAATTCCTCTTGGGAAAAGAAGGGGAAAGAAGACGAAGAATTGGAAAAAAAAAGAGTAACGGCCATAAATGCTAAATTTATTCACGACAGAACAAACGAACAACTGGTTTAAACATGAAAACTAAGGCAAACTGCAAAAGAATCACTTGACGAAATATAACTTCTGTGAGATTCACCTGAATGGACACGGCATCAGGCGGTTATAGCTATCCACAACTTCCTATTCTTTGTAGCTATCTGTCTTTTTAGTATCTTTTCTACTTCCTGTTCTGTCATCCATTTATAAAGGCGCGTTAATTGTCGTTTCTTGATGCACCTCTTGCTTTTAGTATGTCTTACGTGTACCAAATTTTCCAAGCCCCCTTTCTTCATGATGCATCGTAGAAATTTTAGCTATCTCTTTCTGAGTCTTTCTGTTTCCATTTGCTTACATGATCTATCTATGGTATTCATCCTACTGGAAGTTCACAACTCAGTTATTTCGAGTGATCTGTGAGGAAATCGTCCAGCATTTACTGCCATATAGGAATACTAGCAGTATGACCCGTCTTCGACCCGGGTCTTTCATTACTGGGAAATTTTGCCATGAAATTGGAGCAGCTTAAGTTTAAAGTCATCCCACCCGAAAATCAATATTAGTAACAATATTTGGGTGAAACTGAGACATATCCACAAATGGGGAGGGGGTAATAATTTGAATGGTAGGTAGTCCTGAAAAGGACCGTTTTTGCGTTCTCAATCTTGCAAGGAAAAAACCTTTTCCATGGACCGTCATAATAATAATATACTATAATTTTATTTATAATATATTTATTTTTAAATAAATCTAATAATCTTTTGCGTTAGATTTCAACTCTCTAAATTGATTGTACGCTGTTTTTTTACAGACATTAAATTTTGCCTTTGATTTTTTTGCGCAAAGTGTAAAAAATCAGTTTTTTCGATTTTTCACCTACAAGGTTGTAATTTTCCCAGCCAATTCGGGCTCAAAGCAGTCACTGAAGAATTATATATCAAAAAAAAAAAAAAATTCATCGAAATTGGATGAAAAATGTGGCAACGTATAAACAACATCCGATCACACACACATACATACATTTTGAGAATTATATATATATATATATATATATATATAACAGTATAACCCGTCTTCGACCGGGTCTTTCATTACTGGGAATATTTGCCATTCAATTGGAACAGCTTAAGTTTAAAGTCAGCCCACCAGTAAATCAATATTAGTAACAACATTTGAGTGCAACTGAGGCATATACCCAAATGGGGGTTAACAATTTGAATGGGGGGGGGAGGGCCCCTGAAAAGGGAACTGTATAATAATGAATAATATTATTGTAATAATTTAAACTATTTATTTTTATTAAACTTTTTATGAAAGACATATATCCAAGAACTGATAGTAAATAGTAAAACATTGCTGAGAGTTATAATGGACAGGAAGTAGTGGAGAGCCATTGTCGCTAACAATTTGGACTCAAAACAGGCACTGAAGAATTATTTATCAAACAAAAAAATTTCATCAAAATCGGATGAAAACTGTGGAAATGCATAAACAACACCCGATCACACAGACAGACAGACACACATTTTGAGAATTAGAGATATAGATTGATATTACATAGAAGTTCAGTACTTTTTTATTCGTTTCTAACGAAATTTTCTGGTTTATTGATACTTTGTTTAGTTTATGGAAGGCATCTTTCGTTATTCTAATGTGTCGGATAACTACGAAAGAAAAAAATGAAATTGTTAATTTTACTCTTTGAATTTAGTTGAGAAACTCTAAGCCGGGGGTTTTCAGTCAGAGAGAACGCCACCTGGATGAAATTTCAGGCTTTCAATGGGGGAGTTCTTTTGCATTTTATTGCTTTTTGCATACAGAATCTGGAGCTCACCATAAATATAAAAATACTACTCTATAAAAATAATCCATGTAAATATATATGTACTAATTTGATAATTTATAGGCATATTATTTGAAATGCACCGTTTAGAGTTGGACAATCTTAGAAAGAGGGGGAGGTGAAAAGTGAGCACTGAGTAAAAAAGGCTAAGAACTCCTGAAATAGAACAACTGAATAAGACAAAGAATGTTTCCTTTTCAAAAACGTCATTGATTTTCTTCCTTAAATTTACCATTCACTGGCACCAAATATCTTGGGTTGTGTTTGTTGTAGATTAGTTTTCACAGTGGAGGCTTGTATTTCAATAAGTCGTCCTAAATTAGGTTCGACGTACAAAACGTTAGGAACTTGAAATAAGAGTTAATGACGCAGCAATCTAGTTGTGATGGTTGGTACTTCAATGTCCGATATCGACTGACTCGCTCAACACCACTGAGCCGAACTGGCGACCGCTACTACTGCTACTACTTATTATGTGTGGGAGAGTCTATTTATAATAAAATAGGTATGTCAGGTATAACAGTG